TGGATTTTGTTTTCCAGTGCTGTTGGGGTAGCTGCACAAGCTTGGTTCAATGTTAAAAAGAGTCTTTTGGGAAACATGCTAGCTCTCTCGCAGGGGTGCAAAGGCCAACCTTTGCTTCCACAGCTTCATCCATTTGGCGAATCTGCTGTTCTTTTCGCTGGCTGGCTTCTCGGGGGCCGGACGGGAAGTTTGTGGAATCTGCTGTGGAAAGAACGACACGAGGGTTTCTTAGGCAGCCACGGTCATGGCGGCGGCCGCCCCTAAGGCCGGGGGCTCAGTGCCTGAGGCGCGGGGTTCCGCTGAAGCCCCACTGCAGTACAGCCTTCTTCTGCAATACCTGGTGGGTGACAAACGTCAGCCCCGGCTCCTGGAGCCTGGGAGCCTGGGCGGAATCCCGAGTCCGGCCAAGAGTGAGGAGCAGAAGATGATCGAGAGGGCGATGGAAAGCTGCGCCTTCAAGGCAGCGCTGGCCTGCTTGGGAGGTGAGACGAGGCTCGTGGGGGCCCTGGGGAGGCTGAGGGCTCGGAGAGCCTTGGGGTTCTCGGCCAAGAAGACCACACGCCTAGGAGGCGAGCGACCTGTGCGCCTCGACCCTGACTGCACCCCCTCCTGGTTCAGTGAACTCGGGTATTTCCTCGCCTGACCCTGAGGTTAGCTTTCGCCGGTGGAAATTGAGTCCGAGAATCAGTACTATGGGCAGGGCCTGCAGGTTATAAAATGCTCCACTTCGTTCATTCATTTAATCACTCAACAAGTTACCAAGCAACTCATGTGCCGACTGTCACGAGCTGCCGCGTGCGCGGGGAGCAGGGAGGGAAGATGGCTTTTTTTTTTTTTAAGGTATTTATTTTTTAGTTGTAGTTGGACACAATACCTTTGTTTCACTTATTTATTTTTATGTGGTGCTGAGGATCGAACCCATTTCTCGCACTTGCAATGCGATCGCTCTACCGCTGAGCCACAACCCCAGCCCAAGGGAAGGTGGCTTTTTAAGAAAAAAATTGACCTTCTGAGTATTTGAACATGTACAGCATTCCTCCTGTGTGCTGGTAAAGAGGTTGGTTGCATATTTGCAGAAGAGTTTGAATCTTACTGGGAACAAAAGACATTTAAGAAAAGAGTAGTGGGCGAGTGCAAATTTTAAAAAGTGAAATATATTAGAAAGAAAAGAGATCTTTTTGGAGCTGGGACCGCTTGAAAGAAAGAGCCATAAGCTGGGCAGGAGTGAGGCACTGGGTTCCATGCTCAGCACCACATAAAAATAAATAATTAAAGGTATTTAAAAAAAGAGCCATAGCAGGAAATCTGGGAGGGGAGGAGCCCATGATTTCTTTGAACTTACATTGATTCTGAGGTGGTGAAAACACATCTGTATGGAAGTGTCCTGCAGCTCAGGAAGGTTGCATAGGAACAGCATTTGGGGATCAGCTGTTTGGTAGCTATGTGGTCTTGGGAAAACTTCTTAACTTCTTGAGAGTGGCAGAATCATGAGCAATGTTAGGAAATGAAAGGAGGCAAAAATGCTAAAGGAGACAGAAGATAAATCTTGAATTGTGTAATATGGAGTCAAGTGGAGAGTGTTAGTGACTAGTGCACTAGTGGCCATGGAAAAAGTCATCTTTTTGATCCCAAACAGTAACCCCGAAAACATACCCAAGAAATCTTCATCTCTGTTTTTAGGATTTGTCTTGGGAGGTGCATTTGGAGTTTTTACTGCTGGCATTGATACCAACGTAGGCTTTGACCCTAAGGATCCTTACCGTACACCGACTGCAAAAGAAGTTCTCAAAGACATGGGACAGAGAGGATTATCCTATGCCAAAAATTTTGCCATTGTGGGTGCCGTGTTTTCCTGTACTGAGTGTCTGGTAGAATCTGTAAGTGTCTCTCTGCTTTCTGAGAAATCCTTACCAGCAGCTATCTCACAAGTGATCTGTCACTGAGTTACATTCCCCAGCCCAGTTAATGATTTTGAACATTTTAATTTATTGGACCTGGGTATGGTGGTGCATGCTTGTAATGTAATCCCAGCTATCCTGGAGGCTGAGGCAGGTGGAACACAAGTTCAAGACCAGCCTGGGTAATTTAGTGAGACCCTGTCTCAAAATAAAACATAAAAAGGGCCAGGGGTCTAGCCCAATGCTGGAGTGCCCCTGGGTTTGATCCCCAGTGCCCCCTTCCCTCACCCCCGCCCCACAAAGACATTTTGGAGAACCTGAAAAAATTTTTGATTACTTCTCAAATACTGGACTTGATTACAGTGCTCTAGTGCCACCTGCAGGAAGCATCTATGGATACATTTAAATTTTAGAAACTATACTTTTTAAAAAGATTAGGTTTTCTTTGGATAATAACTAAATTAGCCAACTGGAAGTCCTGTGTATTTTCTGGCTTGTTTCTCTGGCTTGATCTGCGCTTCTGCCCCCACAGTACCGGGGCAGATCAGATTGGAAGAACAGTGTCATCAGTGGCTGCATCACTGGAGGAGCCATTGGTTTCAGAGGTTAGTAAACAACTCTCAAATGGTTTTTCTTTGTGGCCTTGGCCAACGTGCTGATGTTGACATTTCCAAGTATGAGTGTTCCAGGGACACTTGATATTCTTCTGACAAATAGATCTTGACTGCTTCTGTGTTAACCCAGTTTTGGAACTTGCTATTATCTCTATCAGGGTTTCTCATCCTTGGCCTTTGGACCAATAAATCTTTGCTGTGACTGGGGGGTCAATCCTGTTCATTGTAGGATGTTTAGCAAGATGCAGCAGCACCGCTTTAGTTGTGACAATGACAAGTGTTTATCAATGATGCCAAAAGTCCCTTGGGGGGCACATCACCCTCACTAAGAACCACTGATCCAGTCTATCTTAGAAAAAAGAACTGCCCCCTTATTAAGTATATCCAGCAACTTTCTCATATAGGTAAGTTGGAGTTTTTTGGTTTGCAGGATAGTACAGAAGCATAGCTAAGTCCACTCAGCCCTGGAAAACCCATTTGTCCACATGTGTAGAACTTTTAGCTCCAGTCATTTTTAATGTTTACCCATTATTCCTAATTTTAGATAGTTGTCAGTTGTATTTTTGTTTTGTTTTGTTTTGCAGTTCTGGGGAACAAACCCAGAGCCTTGCTAAGTTAAGTGTGTACTCTTCCAATGAGGTATTTTCCCAGTCCCAATTATCAGTTTTAATTTTATATCTAAATCATAATGGTAATGTTGTTCTGCAATTGAGGATTCTTAGAATTCTTCCCATTGAATGCTAAATATAAACATTCTAGAAATGTTAGATTATCAACTGTAAGCAACAAAGGAACAAACTGATCCCCACCATTTCTCTCTGTTAGCATGCTCATTGAGTGTGTGGTGCAGACCTCAGGGACTTGAGTTTCCTAGAAGCAGTATCTATTGCTGGGCCACTCTCCATCATTCACACCCTGACTTATCTGGAGCAAAAGCTTCTCATCTTCTGAGAGTCAGGATGATTTGCTGTCATTAAAGTCTGAGTTTGCTCTTCACATAGCCATATGTAATTTATAGAGTGACTTTTCTTTTGGTCTTTTTGTTGCTTAGCTTGTCAGGGCCTCTGTGAGAAGCTCAACTCCCTCCAGGACTGCTTTGATCACCTTCCCAGGAATTTATTCCATAAACAGATAGGGTAAAAGGCCATATGCTTTCATTTGATTCCAAGGACTGGTTCTTTTAACCAGTTTCCTGCCTGTGAGGGGCTATTTCCATAAGACTAGAAGTAGTAATTCTTTAGAATGAGAAAAGTTAAGTTAAATAAAACACAAAGACTTAAATCTTTTTTGGTACCAGGGATTAAACCCAGGGGCACTTAACCACTAAGCCAATTTCCCAGACAATTTTTTTTGTATTTTATTGAGAGACAAGGTCTTCTAAATCCTTTAGGGCCTTACTAAGTTGCTGAGGCTGGCTTTGAACTCTAGACCTTCTGCTTCAGCCTCCTAAACCGCTGGGATTATAAACATGAGCCACCTAGCCTGGCTGGTGTACATCTTATACGCTTCTTCACTGAAGTTTTTTTAAATTCTTTTTTATAAGTTGTAGATGGACACAATGCCTTTATTTATTTTAAAAATATTTTTTAAGTTGTTGCTAGACCTTTTTATTTTATTTATTTATATGTGGTGCTGAGAATCGAATCTAGCACCTCATACATACTAGGCAAGTGCTCTACCGCTGAGCCACAACCCCAACCCTTCACTGAAGTTTTATAGAGCCACTGTAGGTTGAATGAGAATATTTAAGCTGGTTTCTTTGCATCTGTGGGTATACAAACTTTTTGTGAATGCATCCTGACCCAGCATCTGTTACCACAGGTAAGGTAATATTACTTCTGTTTGCTTTACAGCTGGCTTAAAGGCTGGGACCATTGGTTGTGGAGGTTTTGCTGCTTTCTCTGCTGCAATTGATTATTACCTACGGTGAGAGTAATTGCCTGTGGGGAAGGAGGACGCCATCCCAGGATCAAAGCTGGTTTTCCGGAGGAGAGTTTCTGTACCACTTGGCACTTGCTTCAGGGGCTGAAGACATTTGTTTTCCTTCATATAGTTGGTGTTTTGAGGGAGCCTCCTGCCTGCTCTCTGTCTCTAGCAGTCAACGCAACCACACTCTGTGCCACTCCTGGATTCCAGCCAGCCTTTTCAGGGATGGCTATGCCAGATTGTCTCCTTGGAGCCTTCAGGAGACATTGTGTTGACTGTTAGGAATTAAACTCCACAAAGGCTCAGTCCTAACCACATCCTGCCCTCTGGGTTATGAGCACGGAGGTGGCAGTATGTTCATATGTACCCAGGAAGCTCCTCTGCCTTGGAACACCATGCAAGCATCCATCTCGCATGCCAGGGCAGGGCAGAGTAAATTCATGCCATCCAACCAATTATGTCATTTTGTTTTGTTTAGTGTTCTGCCATTCTTGTTAAAAGTATATATATATATTTATATTTATATTACAGTTTAAAGGTTGGTTTATTTTTATTTTCAAATTCCACAGTTCTCAAAAATGATGGCAGGCAGTTCAAAGAGTGACAATCCAGTGGGAAAGTGTGACAAACCTCCTGAAAAATCTAGGACTGTTAGATTTTCAGGGTTTGTGTGGACTGTGTCATCTCTACCAGGATCATTAGTTTGGCCAGAAAGCAGCCCTCTCTCCAGGAGCCTAGTCTAGCTGCTTTCTAAGACGCACTGAAATTCCTTGTGTGAGTCCCTCTGGCCTCTTCACAGAAACCCTCCAGGGCTGGCTGATAGGCATGCCTGCAGTTTGCTGAACCACACGTTGGTTTCAGGCGCAAGCCCAGCTCCAGGACATATGTGGAGAGTCCTACTGTGGTCATCCTGATGATTCAGTCACAGCAGCTACTGGCTAAGGTCAGACATGGTAGAGGGGCTACTCACTGCCACCCCTGTTCTCCACTATCAGTGGATATTTTGATTTTGACCTCATGGTCTTTGCTGACAGTAGCAACCCAGCCTCATTGTGTGCTGTAGAGGCGCGCGCGCACACACACACACACACACACACACACACACACGTTTAAGTGGTCTTTTGTGGTTGGCCTCCACTGCTGTGCTGTTTTGCTCTGGTGCAGTGGTGGAGTAGAGCCGATGAACTCTTGGGCTTTACCTCCTGGAGGAACAGGCAGGTAGGCTCAGTGGGGGCCACATAGTGCTGGCTGCCTTTCTCCTGTACAGTAGCTCCTCCACATTTTCCCCCTTTTTCTTTCTCATTTTCTGTCTTCTATCCTACCCACCCTTAACTAGAATCAGAGTCTCAGCTTCAACATCCAAGCATCCCCGGTGTGTATTTGTGTCATGTCAAAGGATAGCTGGTGACACCTTTAGCTGTTCCTTTAGCTGTTTCCTTTCAATGAATGTGAGCTAGTACACAGGGCTCCTGTTCTCTGTGGTGAATTCTACATGATACTTGCTCCCTTCTTACAAGCATGAAGCTATATCATCACTAGGCCATTGGGAGCATTCCTCAGAGCTCTGGGAACAAATTTAGGAATCCCTGGGTTCAATCCCCAGCACCAAAAACAAAACAAAATAAAAAACAAATTTAGGAGTGTTTCCTGTACTGTCCCTAAATATTTCAAACCTAGGACTATTCTGAAGCAAGGGCAGTCAGTCCTACCGGTACCTGTCAAAATGCTCAGATGCCTGGGATCTTCTACCAGCTAGTCTTGTGCATGGGATTGAGTACAAGAAATGCTGCCCTCCCAATTGACTTGGCAAAGATGAGCCTGGAGGATGTCAGTAGCCATCAGTTCAATAAGCCAAGCCTTGTCCACACTGACTATTCAATCAAGAGAGGAGATGAATAGCTTCCTGTTTTAGATGACTAGGGAGCCAGTATGAGCTCATAAACCAAACAGCAATTTTCAGAGACATCTGTTCTTGATCTCCAGAATAAACACAGTATCCAAGGGCATAAGCTGGTGGGAGCTTACATTAACCAAAGGAGGGTGGGCCCTCTGGGGGATACAGCTTCTCCAACAAGCAGATTAGACCAAAAGACTGACCCAAAGACATGCCACTTCCAAGGAAATTGCAGAGAAAAATTACTGAAAACCAGTGGACAACTAATGGTCATCTGAGGTACATTGATGACCAGGTCAGTGGTTAGACATTTGTATCTCATGTAGAGGACTGCAGCAGCCTGGTCCAAAGGGAGGTCTTTGTGTCGAGCAAAGAGAGGACTGGTTTATTGCCCCCACACTCTGTCCTGGCTCCCAAAAGGAAGGTTCAAGGACAGATAGCTAGGTAAACAGGTTCCTAGAAATTCACATCTGGATGCAGCTGGAAGTGTTAAATATTTAGATTGGTGGTCTTTCCTGGACTACTGAGAACACAAACATCCACACCACAGGGCTGTTTTGTGCAAATGTTGGGGCTTTGCATTTTTTTTTATTAACATTTTCCTTTCACATGGTTTACATCAATTTATAATAATCTACATAAATTGAAACAGAACAGAGACAAAAAAATATATCCTTACCAACTTATTAAAGTCAAATATTAATGAAGGGTCCCATCCTACCTCTCTATCAGCAAAACTGGCAGCCCTCACCCATTGCCCAGCAAGGACAGGCATGCCTGGGACTCCTGTAGCCTGTCCTTTCAAGTCCTGTTGGCACAGGCTGCCCTTCTAAGTACAGTGACTGGGGGTTCTGGGCTGCAGTCCCTGGCTCAGGAGAACCCACCAGGTATTTATTTCCTCGGTGCAGCTTAGTCCATGTCTGGCACCCGACCCTCCCCACTCAGTGGAATTTATAAATATTATAAGCCTTTTGCATTTCTCAGCTCTTCCAGCCTTCCTTCCTGTTCTCATATTGCCTAAGCAAGCTGGGGGCTGCAGTAGCTGTCTGACACTGAAAAGCAAACATTTTGGGGAGGCAGGAGACACCCATTTGGGCTGTAATTAGCTCTAGCTGGGCCTCTAATTTGTTATTGACAATCTTCTGGAAGCAAGAATCTTCCATACCACATACCAACAAGTGCCAAGCGGAGACTTCAGGAATAGTCAGATGGTGGGATCTTTTCCTTCACCTGCCCCAGGGAGCAGGGCTCCTTGCTAAGCTGCTAACAGGCAGCTGAGTGGTCAGCATTTCCCTATTCCAGCGTGCAGAGTATACTGTTCCACTGGCGACAGGTACAAAGTAGATCAGGAAGGCCCCTGCCTCTCTCCAAGCAAGTACTTATGCTTCAGGGCCAACAAGCCCTTTAGACTTACCCCTGAGCACGAGCAGTGGGAGCTGTTTTCCCTAATCCTAAGGGCCTAGAATGGGCTCTGGCACATAGAAAAGCCAGGGAGTTGTGCAAAGGTTCAAGCCCCTTTTGCTGGCACTTTGGGAATAAATATTACTCCTTTCCAGTACTGAGCAATGGGTCTCAAAGTTGGGAATGGCACCTCTTGATCCCCTGCGTCAACAATGAGGTCCCCCAGCAAAACCCAGTCCCAAGAGAGGCAGGTGCCATTTGATTCTTCATCCTCTAATTTCTGGGAGTTTCCAGAGTTCATCCACAAAGCTGCATCTAGAAGCTGGGGCAGGGGCAGCACCGTGATGGCTGGCAACTGCTGGATTGTGCCTTCCTTTCCCAGGGTCTGGAGCGCACGTGGCAGTTGGGGCTGCCCCGTGGCAGTGCTCGGCTGTGAAGAGTGTAAAATCTAAGGCAAAAGTACCACGAGGTATGTGAGGTGTCAGGCAACCTCCGAGATGGAGCCTGCATGCTTCTGGACACCTGCACCAGCCACAGAAGTTGCCCTCCAGGAAGCCTGGCTCCATCAGGAAAGCCTCTGTAACTCACACCAAGTGCAGCTTCCCCGCAACTCAGGCCAGTGCTGACTGTTCCACCTGGCTTGTTTCCTCAGCAGCCTGGACTCTCCTACCTCCCCGGATGCCTTCCTGACCCTCTGGCTCTCTTGATAGCAGGTCACTTGTGGGTCTTTACACTCAAAGGAAATAGAACTCCAGGGGGAAAAAACTGAAAATTCAGCAGTAGAAGAAACAGTCAAAGACGCCTCACTGCTAGGCAGGAGACAGAGCGGACAAACCCCAGAAATCAGCCCTCCAGCTCTGTGCTAAAGCATGGGATTAGTGTGAGTCTGTCTCCTTGTCCAACATTTGCACAGGCAGCAAGGCAAGCAGGTGTGCTCCCACAGTGGAGGATGGGGAGAGGCCCAGGGCAGTGCATTGGATAGGCCACCACTGCTGCCCAGGACCTCTGCAGAACTTTCCAGGTGTTTGGAGCAAAAACTGAAGCTGCACATGCATGCGGCCGGGCTGGGACGGAGGCAAGGGTGGAGGACACTGAGGGGAGGCTGCAGTCTAGGAGCAGGGCCAAGAAAAGAGAAGCTGGTGGCAGCTACACAGTGCCAAATAAAAGCCCTTGGACTGGACTCAGGAGGAAAGAAAGGCTTGGGGGAAATGAAAGAATAAAGCAGGCTGTGTGCCCACACATGGTCGGTCACTATCTTTTCTGCATGACAGATAGACATTAAACAATTCCCAAACAGCACGGAGCATTAGACACAACTAGAGGTACAGAGGGCAGGAGCCGGGGTGTGGCGGTGAGGCTGGGGGCTGGTCAGCTGGCTTTGTACAAGGTGGCACAAAAGATGCACATATTCCAGTTCTTGGAAGTTGGCTTCCCTTGGAGTCTGGAGTGCTGGGCTGGGGAGTTTCTATTGCAGTCTTTCAAGTCTGTGTTGGGCTCTGGCTGGAGGGGCCGGCTCTGGCCATCCCCCCACAGCCACCCCTCCTCAGGCTACACATCAGTGGAAAAGTACAGTGTGTTCCGCTTCAGTTCTGCAAAGGAGATGGGGGGGTGCTGCAGGTAGTAGAGGAGGACCTGCACCTGTGGGGAGACAGGAGAGACTGAGGTTGGAGTCCTTGTCTTCCTGGCCCTCCTCATCTGATCTGTTGAGAAGAAAAGGTCCCTGGGCCGGGGGAGGGGGGGGCGGGGGGCGGAGGGGGCCAAGTCTGTTGTCCCCTGCCCTCCCAAGGATGGCTTTGGCCACCTCCTAGAAGCCACACCTTCCTTTGAAGCCCAGGTGTGTTAGTCCATTATAGCACTAGAGGGCGCTGCAGGACAGAGGGTGGGGAGTCTAGAGCCATTTCCCCAACCTCAGTCATAAGGTCAAACCTGGGCCTGAGGTCAGCTTGGCATCTCTGCCCTGATCTTGTCTGTGTCTCAGGGAAGCCTCCTGCCCCTGATAGAAATCCCAGGATTCTCCTATATTCCTGGGCTTGTTTTCTGAGACTGAAGCCCTCTCAGGAAAGCAGGCAGCACCTAGGACAGACATTCTCTGGGCCCTTGTCTACCTCACATGTTTTGGCCTGGGAAGGGCAGGACTGTCCACAGCCCTGCCTACCTGGTGGCGTCCTATACACCAGATGCCAGCTGCCCAGGAGGAGAGAGGTGTGGAAACCTAGCTGTTTTCGCTACCCCTCCACCTGGGCAGTGCTGAGATACCTGTGCCATGACATCATGGGACCAGATGTCTGCAGCCGATGTGAGATGTGCTTTGCTCTCCACTTCTGAGGGTCTCAGTAACGTGGGGCCAAACACGGTGGCCAGGTTGTGAAGCGACATTTTGTTAATGGGCTCCTTCTCAGCAACCCTGAAAGGAAGAGCAGGGAGAACAGAATTCACTCCCCGGCGGCTACTTGGAGATGTAGGGCCCTTGGCCTTAAGCTCCAGGAACTCCTGGAAGGAGTCCTGGAGGACCTCTTGCCTCCCTCTTTTTAGAGTAGAGACCTGCTGTTGGTAATGCACTAAGCCAAAGGATCAGTGCCCAGCTATGTCTCCGTATATTGCTGTGACAGATTCCCAGCTTCTAGGCCATCACCGACCTGATGGTAAACTGCCAGGGCCAGAAAGACTCACAGCCATCTACTCCAACTCCCCTGCCTTAGAGAAAATGTTACTGATCTAAGAACTTCCCCTGCAATAGCACATACTTGCTGTGGTGCTTTGAGGTGGGTACTATTATTATTGTCATTCCCATTATAGAGATGAAGAAACTGAAATATAGAAAGGTTAAGTGACTTGTCCACAGTCACATACCTAGCAGTACGGACAGCTGGGATCTAAATCGGGGCAGTCTGCCCAAGAACCCATGCTCTCAACCATTCTGCTCTTTACCCGTGATCCAACAGTCTAGCTGTGGGGACTGGCTGCAGGAAGAGTCAGTGGGAGGAGCAGGGGGCAAGGTGGGGAGGGCCTGCAGCTAATTAGCTGGTAATCAGACCTAGGTTCTTCCTGCTGTGCTGGGGCAAAAGCAGCCCTAACTCCAGTAGGAGCCCAGTGCCCTCCTCCCTGCTGCTCTAGGGACCTC